TATCCAGGGATGGTGATGGTGGTGTCTAGGACATAGTCTGTAAGGTATGATTCCGTGAGTAGGAGTGTGTCAGGTTGTTGCTTGATTAGTCTGGGAGACAGCTCCCCCAATTTTGGCACTAGCCCCTAGACGTTAAGGAGGAGCACTTTGCAGAGTTGACAGGGCTGTTTCTGCTGCTGTCCTTTCCGGTGTCCAGGTCAATGCCTGGTGATCTATCCGGTTTCACTTCTTTGAGTCCTTGTAGCAATTGGTACAACTGAATCAATAGTCAACCACATTGCTTGGGTCTGGAGTCACTTGCAGGCCAGATCAGGTGAGGATGGCAGATTTCCTTCCCTGAAAGTCGTTAGTGAACCAGATGGGTTAACAATGGTTTCATGGTCATCAGTAGATTCTTAATTCCAGATTTTCCTTTCATTGAATTCAATACTACCATCTGCGATGGCAGGATTCGAACCGGTGTTCCCAGAACATTATCTGGGTCTCTGGATTAATGGTCTAGCGATAATGCCACTAGACCATTGCCTTCCCTTTCAGATAAAAACTGTACGGCTCAACGATTGGCTGACTGAATTCAATACCAGTGTAACAGGCAGAACAAGGACCATGCTCAACCAGACCATTCTTGCAACACCCAAACTAAAATGACTGGTAGATCGGATTCCGCTATTGGGTAGCGCTTGTCAAACAACAAAGTGCAGTATTAGCTACACTAACAACCAATTTAAGACAAGTTAAACTCAACACGGCTTATTTGTACTTCCTAGAACGGACTTGTGTTATATGCAGAGACCTATTTTCTGCAAGCAAAAGCAATGTTTCAGCCTTGTGCCTTTTCTGAATTATAAAGGAAGCGATTATAGTGCCCCAGTTCTTTACTCCTTGGCCTAAGCCAGTCAGAATTTATTTGTCAACTGTCACCCTTTTCTTAGTATAAACTGGCGTGATCATTTCAAATTTGGCATTCTTGCATTTGCTCTGTTAAGCACAAGGCAAAAAACTTCAGTAACATGTCTCTTTTTCAAGGAATATTCAAATTCTGTACTACCAAACAATTCACTTTGTTCCCATCTTGCAGGTGATGATCGTGATGAATAGATGCATCATGTTAAAAATAGCACTAAAGGCTGCTTGTGCTATATTATTCCCTACATGATTGCAATTCAAAAATACTGACTAGCTGCAAAGAAGATAGGAGTATGCCATTCAACCTCTCGAGCTTGCTCTGCCATTCAATGTGAACATGGATGATCATCAAGCTGAATACCTTAATCATGTCCTCCCACATATCCCTTGATCCCCACAGCTATACCGACCTCCTTCTTGAAAACACAATGTTTTGGCCTCAACCACTTTGTGCTAGTGAATTCCACAGGCTCACCATCCTTTGGGTGAAGAAATTTCACCTCAGTCCTAAGAGGTTTATCCCTTATCCTTAAACAATGACCCCCGGTTCTGGACCGTCAGGAACATCCTTCCTGCATCTAATCTGTCTAGTCTTGCTAGAACTTTGTAGGTTCATTTGAGATTGCATCAGCCCCGCCCCCATTCTTATAAACTCCAGTGAATACAATCCTAGCTGACTAAACCTCTCCTCATTCATCAATCCTGCCATCCCATGAATCAATCTGGTAAACTTTGCTGCACTCCTTCTATAGTAAGAACATCCTTCCTCAGATAAGGAGACCAAAACTGCACACAATATTCCAACTGTGGCCTCGCCAACGTCCTGTATAATTGCAGAAAGACATCCTTGTTCCTATATATAGATCCTCTCACTATTAAGGCCACACAGTTTGCCTTTTCACTGCCACCTGCACATACACGGTTACTTTCTGTGACTAATGCACGAGGACACCCAGGTGTTGTTGAATAGTCCCATCTCTCAAATTACAGCTATTCAAAAAATAATCTGCCTTCTTATTCTTGCTACCAAAGTGGATAACCTCACATTTATCTACACTATACTGTATCCACCATGCATGCCAACACAGCCTCCAAATCACTTTGCAACATCCCCGCATCCCCCTCACAGCTTCCCCAGTTTTGTGTCATGCAAGTTTTGAGATATTAAGCACTTTGGATGCTTGCAGGTCATGAAAGGCACATTTATTTACAAAGAAATCTTAGGTAATTTAGTGACCAAAGTTTTTAAAAAAAAATTTATTCGCATCCACAGATCACTATGCACAGCAGTTGTTCAAATGAAGAAATCACATACTAACAATTTTGACAAGAAAAATCAAGAATCTCTATCCCATTCACTTTGGTGTTTGGACTCGTTCTCCGAACACTGCACTACTTCTACAAACACAGAAAATCACACCACACCAGATCAGAAGCCATGAAGCAATTAACTTGGTATCAGTATAAATCTGAAGATACAAACAAGGAACAAGGTTGGATTTGAACTTTTGTACACTGACCTCACAAAAAGGTGCATGCTCCAATGAACCCTGGGTAAAAAAGTGAGAGTGTAGAAAAGTTTACCTATCTGACACCAAACCAAGATTTTCTTTGTGGAAGAAATGAGTATTACTGGCTCCAGGAAGCCCCCAGCACAATAACACTGAAATAACACATACCACTGCACCAGACACTTGAATAGAGAAATAAACAACAATCAATAGAGAAACAGACAATTAGTACAAGAACATTCAGTCCAAAGTGGGATTTCAACATATCATTAGTCCAGGCTTCTGTATTACTAGTCTAGTAAAAGAACCACTGTGCCATATGTCCCATGATTTCAAATCTCACCTGTATGACAACGGGTGAATTTAAACTTTTCATTAAATAAATTTATCACAATAACTTCATGGTCACTATGTCATTCAGGAAAGGAAATCCACCATCCTTATTTGTCTGGTCTACATTTGATTACATCGTAAGAGCAATGTGATTAACTTTTAACTGTCCTTCTTGGGGACAACTGGGCAATCAATTGCATCAAGTTGTTAAGAAAAGATAAAATAACAAAGAAAGATAGACCACTGCCCCAGCAGTATAGCATATTCAAATTTGACAAAAGTACTCTCAGTCCAATCAACCCTGCAAAATCCTCCTCACTAACGTCTTGTGCCAAAATGGTGAAAGCTGTCGCACAGTCTTCAATGTCTATCACCAGGATTGATAATGACAGCACCATAACAACTTAGTAAGCTTAGTCAAGAACAGAACCAGACTACAGTTTGAGTCTGCAGCCGGAAATAAGTGAATCAAATTAAGTGAAAAGCCTACTTTTTTTTCCCAGCCCTTTCATGGCATGGTGAAGTCAGTGCTTGTCATCTATCTTCAACTGCCCTCAAGAAAATGGTGGTGAACCACCTTCTCGAATTTCTATGGACTATAAACGTACATTGCTTTAAGGGAAGATGTTCAGGGTTTTTGTTCAGACACAATGAAGGAATGATGATGTAGCTCCAAATCAGAATTAGGTTTGGCTTGGAGGGGAACTTGCATATATTAATGCTCCTGTGAATCTGCTGCCCTTGCCCTTGACTTTACCAATCAACTGCCTCAAATTCATAAATTCATGACAAAATCACTAAGTATGATCAGCAACAGACCTCGCAAAGACCAAGTCCTGTCTTTAAACTGAAGACACACTCCAATCGCCATGGATAAATCTGAGAAATTCAGAACTGACCTAGCAAACCAATGCAGGGTATCATTCTGGGTCTTCAGCCACTGAAGAAATATATTGAAGGACAACCTGCAACTATCACCTTTACCAAGACAGACAACTAACAAGAAACAGCAGCTAAATGAATAATTCCATTCTAAATGACGGTGGAGTCCCTCGTAAATACAATTGGAGAACCTGGTTGCAAACATGTTTAGCAAGAAAAACCAAGGGGATAATCCATCTCTGCCTTCTCCAGAACTCCCCAATCATTAGACGCCTTCCTTCAGCCAATTCAAGTCAACCACATTGCCAAAAATCAGCTGAGCAACAGATGCAACTACCGATGCCCACAACTTGAATGCAGTCGGCTCCACCATAAGCCAGATATTCCAATACAGATTTAAAACAAGTGCTGACCAAAAAATGTGGAAAATCTCCCAGGTACATCCTATCCAACTGGTACGCAGGTGGCGCCTGGACAGTCAGCTGGAGGAGTGATAAACTCAATGTGGGAGGTCAATACAAATACTAGTACTTAGTAACTGTGAAAGAATCTCATTGATATTAGCATGGCAATTATGCTGGTGCACATAAGTAAATCATACCAAATAATTTGTCCAGTTGCCATCAATAAATTCAATTTTTCGTGTGGAATAAAATATTACGTATAGGCTCTCAATTAGGTACAGGTGCTATTTCATCTAAAATTATGTTAAGGCCTGATCATGTCTTGTACTATCTAAAAACATAGTGCAGAAATACACCAAATATTTTTCAACAGTTTCTCCCAGACTCACGACCTTTGTCACCAGAAGGACAAAGGTAGCAGTCACGTTTGAGTAGCAGCACGTGGATATTTACTTCTAAGTGACGCAATAGCCTGATTGGAGAATATATTGCAGTTTCTTAAAAAACAATGGGTCAGACTCCTGGAAGAACTTCACCATATGAATACTCAAGGCTATTATCACCTTCTCAAGAGCAGTCAGGGATGGACTTGACAGTAGTGTCAACATCTGATGAATGAACAAAACGTATTGTTGGTCTGAGTGAATCAGAAACACATGGCATCTCACAATTTGGACTGGGGAACTGAGAAGAAACAACTCACATTGTACGTCAGCAGCTGACACAAAGATGCAGAATATTAATGTCATAGTATAATTTTTGATATCAACATTCCAGACTACCATGAACTGCCTGACTGGCCTAGCAGGCAAGATCACAAGTAATGTAAATGCTGTAGCCAAAATTATCACAAAAGCTACAAAACACCTCAGCATTTTAGCAAATCAATACTTGGAGTGAATATCTTTAAACAAAAAAAAAAATGCAACTATTAGAAATATCTGTGAAAGTTGGTTGGATTTACCTTGGCTCCTTTCTTTGGTCTTGGGTTCCCTGCTTTGACGACTTTAGCTGGTGCTGGCATTTCTGTAGAGGAGGAAAAGATGAACACCATCATCAATATTTATTCAGTCACACCTGGTCTGAATACTGACAGCCAATTGGCTGAGAGCTGCCCTCAATTGTTGACCCAGGACAGGCGAGATAAATCAAGGGCCCTGGGTGATGGCATAGGGATGCTATGACGTCATATTGGATTCAACCATAGCCTGTGGGGGAACCTTCAGCACCCTTAAACTACAAGCTTTTCCATCCTCTTTATACCCTTCCTATCCTCAACATCCTGCCCATTCCCTCTCTACTGCTACCCTGCCCCAAACCTCTCCACTCAATACAATTTCCCTTCCAAAGCCTGTTCCTTACCACACTCAAACGTGCCCAACATACCTTCCCTTCTCTCACCCCACAGAAGCAAAGCTACATACTAACGGAGTAAAGGAAACCACTTAGATTAAAAAAAGCCACAGTAGAGTAATGACCATTTTTCATCCATACAGTATCATTAATGTTAGATAGCACTAATTTTCCATGTGTCAGACAGATACTCACCTCGATGCTGGTTTCCACCTCCTTCACGCTCTCTCTCCGTGATGCAAGAGCAAAGGAAAGGCACAGGCATTTTTCACCTGGAACTAGGTGCCTCCCAGGGCCATATCACTTCTAGAAACGGTCTCCGGGCTAGACCATACCCTGGAAACAGGGCTCCAGCTGGGAGATGGCACATATTCCAGGCACCTCTGTACTCACTGAGGGTATCTTCTGAGCTCAGAAAAGGTGGTTCCTCATTGGTCCGAAGTGCAGTGATGATATAATAATCAGTGTTACAGCTAGAAAGAAACTTTAACCAATTGGATAGCGGCACGACAGGAGCCCAAAAGCACACTTCGAAACAGGACTCACTCAAAGTCAACTCACCTGATGGTCAGCCACTATTGAAACATCAGATTTATAACAAAGCGAGATCCTAAAGGGCTTAAGAATTTGGAGGTGTCTGAATAGGGTTATCAGCTGGTTGTCGTCAATGTCAGTTCATTCCCTAGCCCTCCCAACACCATCTCTCTTGTACATCATCTCCCACCTCATTCAATTAGGACTTTCAACAAATAGAAAAAAAAACATCCATTAAGTACTCGGATTTTCTATCAATGTTTTCCCCAATGTTTTCCTCCATACTGCTCCATATTCCAGGGCTTTCTCCCACATTTTATCTATACTACCCTAAAACCTAAGGCTTGCATTTCAAATTTTATCCAAACTAGTAACTCTCTTGGAAGGGAAAATGTCAGCAGAGTCAACAGCATGCACAACCAATCATTCGCGATAGCAGTGGAAATTTCTTTCGAAGTGATTGTATCAAGATGTGTATTTTTGGTGGTTAGCATTCTTTCATGCACTTTAGATAATTAAATTTCACCCTCAATTCAGAGTTCTGAAATGCTTATTTCCCATTTGTGCTCATTTACGTATAAAATTAGGACATGTCCGAGACTGGATCGAGATTCTGACTATTGAGAGGCTGAACACATTGCAATGATGCTGTACGGGTTCATGAGCCATCATACACATTACAGATACTACACCGGCTACAGTAATGTTGGTCGTAATCGATATTATACTCTGCCATCGCCAACATCCCCATAAGCAAAGCTAAATAGTAAACTCAAGCAGCTGAATGGCAATGCCATAGCATTTATCTAATAAATTTAACTTAGTACAAGCAAAGAGACAGTGGCAGTGGTAATGGCACTCAACTAGCAATTCAGAATGCCCAAGATTGGGATTTTGGGACGTGGATTCAGATCCCACCATGGCAGCTGATCGAAATTAAAACTCAATCAATAAATCCAGAATTGAGTTTCTTGTGGTTTGCAGGTAGTGTCCCTACCCCTTGATTAGGACACCCAGGATCAAGTCCTACCTGCTCCAAAAGTACGTGATAACATCTCTGAGCAGGCTGATAAAAAAAATTTTTAAATGTGGAATTGAAAGCTATTCTCAGCAACAGTGACCTGGCTGATTAATGTCCATTACAAAACCAAATTTGCTTTCCTAACATGGCCTGGCCTGCATGTGACTACAGGTAAGCATTAATGTGGTTGACTCATCTGTTCACTGAAGTGGTCTAGCAGTCATTCAGTTCAGGGGGCAACTATGAATGGGCAACCGATGTTGATCTTGACACTGATGCCCACATTCTATGGAAGGATAGAAAAAGTCCCAAAGCACTTTACAGTATTAACTGAGTTAAACTTAACAACGAGTCACAAAAGAGATATTAGGATTGATAAGCAAAGGTTTGGTGAAAATGGAATTCAGAGGGCAAAAAAAAATATAGAGACTTAGAGAAGGAATTCCAGAGCTAAGGGCCCAGACAGACGAAGACCTGATTATTAAACATGAAGTAGTTAAAATATGGGATCCATAAAAGCCATGAATGCTGGGTCAGTTGTTAATTCTAGATCTGAGATAGTACCTTTGCTTAACAAAAAATTAAGTTATATGGACCAAAAACCAAAGTATATGGAGTTAGGCCATAGATCAGCCATGATCTCACTAAATGCTGGAACAGGCTTGAGGGACTGATTGCGTACATCTGTTCCTCTAACTCCTATGATTTGAGAACAAGAATGAGAATTCTAACAGTAATAGGACCCAACTTAATTGAAGGACTGAGAATGGGTAATGACTCGTTGAGAGTAAGGATATTGACTGCAGAATTTTAGACAACCTCATATTTTAAGGAGGTTAAGATGACGAGAGATTAACCAGGACAGCAGCAATAAGAGGTGGTGGTAATGTCACTAATTAGCAACCAGAATCCCAGGACCAGAGATAGTAGGAACTGCAGATGCTGGAGAATCCGAGACAACAAGGTGCAGGGCTGGATGAACACACTTGTGAAATCCTCTACATCGGGGAAACCAAGCGGAGACTCGGGGACCGCTTTGCAGAACACCTATGCTCGGTTCGCAACAAACAACTGCACCTCCCAGTCGCGAACCATTTCAACTCCCCCTCCCATTCCTCAGACGACATGTCCATCCTGGGCCTCCTGCAGTGCCACAACGATGCCACCCGAAGGTTGCAGGAACAGCAACTCATATTCCGCTTGGGAACCCTGCAGCCCAATGGTATCAATGTGGATCTCACAAGTTTCAAAATCTCCCCTCCCCCTACCGCATCCCAAAACCAGTCCAGCTCGTCCCTGCCTCCCTAACCTGTTCTTCCTCCCACCTATCCCCTCCTCCCACCTCAAGACGCACCTCCATCTCCTACCGACCAACCTCATCCCGCCCCCTTGACCTGTCCGTCCTCCCTGGACTGACCTATCCCCTTCCTAACTCCCTACCTACACTCACCTTTACTGGCTCCATCCCTGCCTCTTCGACCTGTTTGTTTCCTCTCCACCTATCCTCTCCTCTATCCCTCGTCTATCTGCCTCCCACTCTCTCCCTATTTATTTCAAAACCCCCTTCCCCTCCCCCTTTTCTGATGAAGGGTCTAGGCCCGAAACATCAGCCTCTCTGCTCCTATGATGCTGCTTGGCCTGCTGTGTTCATCCAGCCCTGCACCTTGTTGTCTCAGAATCCCAGGACCAATTGCTCCAGGGACATGTGTTCAAATTCCACCATGGCAAATGGTGAAATTTGAATTCAATAATAACACAAAAAGCTGGTCTAATAACACCCATCTGGTTCACAAACAACATTTATACAGGAACTTTTACAATACAATAATATAATACAAACAGCACAGTAACAGATCCTTCAGCCCACCAAGCCTGCGCCGATTAAGCTGTGGATGACTTAAAAAAATTTTCTACTGTACTCAGAGTACAGTGGTTGAGGAACATGGATTGTACCTGTACTTGTATCTGTTTAAAGGTTTTTTTTTAATAAGTAGAGCCTGCCTTCTTTACTGAAGTTTTCCTAGTTTTGTATTCTAAGCTATTTCAGCTAGAAATACTTAGGACTGCATGTGTATGGCACAAATTTGCAACTTTTAAATTTTCCAAGCAAAAATTGTCCTCAAGAACCTTATAACTTTAACATAAGAGTCTCACAGGAAACCACACCACACTGTCTTCATTTTCAGAAAAACAAATTAACTTTAAATGAGGTCACATTGTATACTGCTCAGAGGAAACATCAGTGAAACTGAGAAGTCATGGAATCAGTTGTGGTGTCAGTCTGGTTTTCAGTGTAGGGATTTTACTGTGATGCCCTGCTCTGCTGGGGCCTTTGACTGTCCAGATGCTTTCTCACTCCCCTCAAGCCCTCAAAGGCAGAGCGACACCTTGTCTTGTGGCTGGAATAATATAACTGCTCTGCTAACTGGCAGTTTTGATTAACCAGTAGCACCCATTCCCCAAGCATGTCAGACAAAGATTTTACTATATCTTTTATCCCTTCACATCATGTCAGCGTGGGACTGGTCTGAGTCCAATTTAGGTCAGGCAAAGTTATTCTTGGGTTTGCTCCCCATTATTTTCACCTCATAGGCCACCCACTTCAAAATGACATTCAGTCCTTATTGCTTTGTTTATAGCTGATGTCCACAGAATTGCTGTATAAATTTGCAAATTATTACTATAACTCAGATCTGTTAAATTTCTGTAGGATTTACAAGAATACAGGGATTGGGAAAGAGAAAACGAATACAGTAAGAAACAATAACAGAAATTGCTGGAAAAAGTCAGTAGGTCTGGCAGCATCTGTGGAGAGAAAACAGTTAACCTTTCAAGTCATGTGACCTTTCAGAACTTCAAACAACTAGGAAAAAAGTGGTATTTAAACTGATGACGGGACACAGGGGAGTTGGGAGATGAGCAAGTAGATATGTCAAGAAGAAGCATAGAGAAAGCAAAGATCATAACATGCAGATGTAGGAAAAGTAGGCCAATCAATTCATTGGGTCTGCTCCAATCAACGAGATTGTGGCTAGTCTGATTATCCTCAATTCCACTTTGCTGCTTTTATCCTACAACAACATAAAAACTGGAGCAGGATAGGCAATTCAGGCCCTAC